AGGTGGAGGTTGCAGTGAGCTGTGGTTGTGCCACTGCATTCCAGCCCGGGTGACAGAGCTAGACACTGTCTCAAAAACAAAAACAAAAAGTAATTGTGGAAGTGAAATGTGATAAGAATATACCTTCCGATAAGTCTATTTGGAAGGGCAAGAGAGAAATACAGATGAAGGAAGATTTTTGGTTTTGGTCTTTAGAGCTGGAAGGGATTTGCCCATGGAGAGGGGGAGGTTAGAGAATCGGAAAGGGCGATAGTTACATTAGCAAGAGCCCAGAGGAACCAGAAGGCAGGAGATCGGGGTAGAATGGTGGGACTAACCCTGCGTAGGGAAAGAATGTATCTTCCCACCCAGTGGCCTATGAACCCCAGGGCCTTGTCTTCTGTCTTGACCTCTCTCAAAAGAAACCAAACTGTTAGCCTGTTTCCTAATATTTCTGATGAGCCAACCACAGGATCCTGGTAGGCAGGGTATTGACTTAGGTAGAGTTCTGAATTTGGAGTTGGAAGACAGCTTTGATTTCTTGTGTTTTTGCTTGACTTCCTGACTGTGTTATCCTTTCTGAGCAGCAATGTCCTCATCTTTAAAATGAAAAAAATGCACTCCATATAATAAAGTAGGAGAATATATGAAAACACTTTAAAAAGGGACTCGCGATTAGGTAGCTTTTTTGAGGTGTTTTTTGTTTGTGTGTCCCTCTGCTCTCAGGATCCGGTAATATTCCAGTGACCAGGAGACCTGGCAGTTGCCAAGAATGTTCTCTGCAACTGCTGGCTTCTAATGAGGCAGCTCACACAGGATTTGCTGTCTTGAATTTAAAAATAACAGAAACAGAAACAAGTGCATCCACAGAGAGATGGACTATCACCAGAGGCTTGGTATTGTGATTAACAGTAAAATGTAAGCCAACGGAAGCCAGCTGGCAATCACTGAAACTTGACCATTTGGTTCGGTAGGTTACAATGAGTTTGTTATTAAGAATTGTTTATAATAATCAAATTTTCCACTAGGTGACAGCAAAGCCCATATGATCTAAATCATCGTTCCTCTTGAATAGTGTTTGAGAATCTTCCAAAAGCAGTGAATCCTGCCGTTCTGCAGAGAGTAATTATTACTAAAATTATGACATATGGCCTTGAGATACTGTCATTACTCTTCTGAGATAAATAACTCCAGTTTTTAAAAAAACAATTTTAGTTTTTGACATTCTAAGTCACTTGAATTTATAGAAACAACTACAACAATAATGTAAAAAGCTGACATGTGTTAAGCATTTGCTGTGTGCCAGGCACTCTTATAAATGTGCATGGCTCTTGATACTACCCAACTTCTCAGAGGTTTCACAGGGATCACAAGTCCCCTCTTGTAATAAAGAACTAAATCTTTCCTGGGCCACTTCTGTAACCATAACACTAACTACATAAATACATGCTTGTGGCTGAACTACCCTGCCCAGGAGAGGAGGAGTTTGGTTATGAATATTAATGGTTTAGTCAAGAGCCCTTTACAGGGTTGTATGAACAATTTTCAGTTATAGTTGGTATTTCTCAGAGCGTTTATCTTTTTAAAAAATAACTTTTCCCCTCTTAGACCTATGCTAACCCTTCATTGGGTTCCCTGTTGGTGGCTCATTCTTCTTGAGACTGTGTTGAGTTTGGGGTAACCTATTGAAGTCTTTTTTTTAGGGGCTAAAGCTGAGACCCCAGGCAGAGTGAGCTTGACTCATCTTGGTACGAAGCCTTTAACCATCAGAAGGAAGTGGGAATTATGGGCCATGGCTGGTATTTGACTCTGTCCCCTGGCCCCTGGCCCTGAATGCTTGCCTTGGTTCTAAGCAGAGAAAGGACTGAGAAGTAAAATGGCAGGGCTGTTTCTGGAACACACTAATCCACAGGCAGCCCTGCTTAGTTTGTTTTCTTCAATCAGAATATAACATAAAAACCAGGGAGCTACATAGCTGGCTCCTAAACAGCTACCCATACTGCTTTTCTTTCCTTTTTAATTATTACTATGTCTGAAAGAATGCTATAAATGCATGAGATGACATTTCCAAAGGTGCAACAGAGCATACAGTTAAAAAGTAAGTTTTACTTCCCATACCTGTTGCCCATAGGAAACCACTGGTTCTCACAGCTACCAGTTTCCAATAACGTTCAGCCTTAGCAGCCTGGGGATTCCGTGCTTGGCAGGACAGTGGTAGGGATGCTGGATGCTGATGGGGGGAGGAGTTAGGAGTTTCTCAGATTGCGGAGTGAGTTAAGCACATGTGACACCTCCTGATGAGGCTCAGGGACTAGGGGCACATGGCATGTGGGAAAATGAGCCAGGAAACTTCGGGAATTCATAACAAGATGGCCTTATTGGCACCCACACGCTGGTGTGGCCTGGGGAAGTTGTGTACTATTATTATAGAAATATGTTCTCAGATGAAGTTAAAAAATATAGATAAGTATATCTCACTATTTAAGTATATATATTAAATATATATGTGTGTATATATACACATATATCTATGTTACAGTTTTTCCTGCAATATGGAGCCCAAGCCCCAGTCTCCAAGTCTCATAGCAACCCAAGCATCAGCAAACAATGCCTCCAGAAGATAGAAACTGACACTCCTAAGGTCACCAGCAATCTTATCCCACAATGTCAGCTGAGCCACGAGAGGGAGCACCACTGCAGAGTGGCAGGTAGCCTAGGCAAGCCACGACCCAGTTCCTGACATTGGCCCCAGGTGCATTCACAAGTGTGAGCACGTGTGCTTGTTGACCCAGGACCGCCTCAGTTTATACCTGGGATAATTGTTAAAAGGGTCCTTTTCCAATCTCAAGAACTGTCCCAAGTTTGTCAATGAAGTATATGATCTCTCTGAATACAGTTCCCCTGTGCATCATCTCCCACCGTGCCACTCCTTCAGGGTGCTGGACCAATTATGGATGTGTGAGTTAGGGGGGGATCAGGTGTCTACCATCTTTCAGACCCAAAGCTGCAACCATTTTTTTCCCCTAGGGCCTCTTCTGGGTCTAGCAGTCTCCTGTTTCTGGGACACAAAAGGGCCAGTTCTACCTCCAGTTCAGGCAACAGAACCCCCCAGTCACCCTTCAGAGGACTGGATATCCTAAATGCTTATGCCTCTTTTTCCCAATGAGCCCGATGCTCAGTAGCTCAAATGTAATTTACCACTGAGATATGTAATAAATATCTCAGGACATTTATTTTGGCCCCTCTCTAATCCCTAGCATGTCATTTTCATGAGAAAAAAAGGAAAATAAAATTCTCCTATAATACTCAACTAGAAATTTCCAGAGGTTAATAATTTTGGAAGCACATTCTTCTGGATATATATGTAAAGTCTTTTATTGGTTCTAGCTGTTTTTCATCGGAGTTTTTTAGTTTTTCTGGGTAGGCAATCATGATTTGCAAGTAATAATTATACTGACACCTAATATTTATTTATTTAACATTTTGAAAATTTTTATTTTAGAGCCTAAAACTTCTAGGATGTAATTGAATAACGATGATAGCAAGCATGTCTTCTTGCCGACTTTAATAGAATGCTTCTAGTATTTCACCCTTAAAATGATGTGATTTAAGGTTGGATTTTGTGTGAAGGGAGTATCCTCCTAAGCTTACCAAAATAATTACCTTGGTTGTAACTTATAGAATAAATTGTCAGTATCTTGACAATTTCATCTTGACAAAGATCAAGATATTTGCTTTTGTCCAGATAAATGGCAATGGAACTATACCTTTGCTTTACTCAGATATCCAACTGTTGCAACTCTTTCTCTTTTTACCTACAATAAAATATTAAATCCATAAATCATTAGATGCCTGGGTTTAAGTCTAGTTGTGGGAGTTTGCTAACTATTCTGAATTTCACTTTCTTTATCTGAAAATTAGAATTAAAAATACTGACTTCACAGAGTTGCTGCATTAACTTATTGCGTAGAATGTAGCAAGCATTCAATAAATTTATTATTATAGCTGTTATATAATATATATTTCACTCTCTGATCCTATTGGAGATATAGATATTAAATATAATATATATTAAATGTATCACATATAATAATAAGAGAGTAAAAATCTCCTTAGAAAAGACTTTTCAGTTAATGACAGTGGTGATTCTAGGATTATCTTAAGTTCACTGTGGTCTTTTCTTTAGAGGTGGTAGGATGCCCAACTGCTCCAGTTTATTCTGGATAGGGGAGCGTCCGAGGATGAAGGACTTTCGGTGCTAAAACCAGAGAAGTCCTGGGTAAATTGGGACAAGTTGGTCACCTAGATCATGGTAATATTTGACTCCTTTCCTGTTTTCATCTGATCAGGCAGGCTCCTCCAGAAGACAAAAATAGCATTCAAAGAAAATTATTAAAGGCCTGATGATGAACAGACATCACCATCATCATTTTAGTAATAATAATAATACTAATAATAATACTGTAATAGTAAGCCACATTTAGAAGGAAACTAAATATCTCTTTCTAAGGAAATTTCTAGCAAACCAAGACAAACACTACTGGGATGATTTTCACAGAAGATGTACTCTTTGGATGGTGAGAGAGCACTAAGAAAGTAGCTATTCCAATGGGGCAGGAGGTAGAAAAGAGGAACTGGGGTACTTGGCATAGTTCAGATACTACAAATCTGGTGCTCCTGATCTACAGAAGGAAGTGTGGATATAGACCCACATTGAGCGTGAGAGTAACAGGAAGAGGTGCAAGAGTGAGGTGAATGATTCCCCTCTAGAAAGTTTGGGGCAAGCCCGGAGGGGATACTGGTTTTGTGGGCTGTTGCCAGGATAGTTGCTACCCACCTGTGCTCTGGCCTGAACATGGCTGAGTCATCACCCAGAATGCTGTGATGGTAGGAGTAATTATAGCCCAGGAGGACATGGAAGCATCAAGTAATTACAGTCAAGGAGGACACGCCCCGGGCTATGGTGCTGCTGTGCACAGAGGACGAGGCAAGGTTCGGGCAGGTGTGGGAAAAAGGTATAGATGCTTCAAAGTATTATTAAAAATGTGTGGATCCCCATGAAGCTCTACTATACCAAGTTTACCAGGATATTTGGGTCGGAATGGGGCTGATGAACCTCACCGTTCATAAAATCCAGACTGCTAATAAAAGAAGTAAAGCTTTGAAAGCTCTGGCGCCTGCTCATGGTCATCACTAATCAGCTTTACCTGGCATACACATGAAATGAAACATCAGTCAGCCTGTAAATTTAAGCAAGCTGTGTTAGACTGTACATGTGTCTAAGTATCGCTTACTTCGTGGCATGAATAAATGGATCTGTGAAATGCACTGAAAAAAGAAAGATCAAGATCAGGGGTACAGTGGGAAACAGAGGTCATTGCTGGGTAAACTCAAAAGATTTCGTACGCAGGCCAGAGACAGGGCTGAGACACTGGGAGTTTATTCTTACTAGATGCTGGACAGTTATTGTGGCTTCAATGAGATAATGCACATAGATGCAGAGTTCTTACATGGCACATAGTTAAAGCTTACTATCACCTGTTTTTAGTTTTTGCACCTCTGAAAGCTAATCAACTAATTTCCCCTAGTATAGAAGCAGATGAACAAAAGTCAAAAATTGAATTTCTTTACCGGGAATAAAAGTTGTACAAGTTGTGTTTGTTCTACCAACAATTTCCTTTGATCCAAATGGCCAGTATAGAAAGATCAATGTTCTTCTACAGTGGCTAGAACACAAACAATGATGTCAAGGGCACATATACCAGGAAGAGACCACTAACGACCTCTCACAGGCCTCCCAAGGTAGCATCATGACCTGAAATTACCCATGCAGGCCAGGAACTGTAATTTTATTCAGTCATAGAAAGAAACACTTATCTCAGGTGTTAGTTCTGCACAATAATCAAGCTTACAAGAGCGAATACAAACCAGTGTATCTTTTATTTGTAGTTTTAAATTTTTATTACTTTTATTTTTCAATAATTTAATACAATCAATCAATAAAAGAGGGCCATGTATGGGCCAGTGGTGACAGTGTGTTACTAAACACAGATATTGGATAGGCAATTAGCAGTGTCTGCTCCAACCATGGCATCAGTTTATTAATTTTCAATAATAAATTACTGTAAGAATTCTGGAGTCCTTATGATCAGCGCCAAGTGCCATGAAAAGTCCAATCAAAATCAGAAACCATTTAATTTATTCCTTCAGAAGAAATTACTGCATAGGTCTATTTGACAAACACAATCTTCCTTAAGATATTAGCTTAACCATAATCAAGAAGAAGGTTGTCCTGAATGCAGAATACAAGCTAAGAAAGTTGACTGTTTAATGGCTTCAGGGAAGAAAGTTTCTGGCCCACAGAACTGGAAATACCAGCCAGATCACAGCCTCTCTAGGACAGTGCTACGATGGAAATTACTAACATTTGCTTTGGTAACTTTTCCTGCTTTTTCTATCCCCAAGTCACAAAATCACTTTTTAATGTATGCATTCTTTGCTTAGTCAAGTTAATATATCTACCTCGGTTATAGAAAACTTTCACAAGCCCACAGGCCAGTTTTTCCTCTCTAAAGAGTTTTTGTGAATCTCTGCTTCGATTTGTAGCCTATTGATTTCACTTTTTCTCCTTGTGCAAGCATCTCAAGTTATTCTGGCCACTTTACTGACACAGCTATGTACAGAGAGCAACTATCCAATCTCCCTGCTTTTTGACATTCGTCTTATCTTCTTTATAATATATAGGTAACTCCATGAAGTTTCTCAGGATCCCTTCTATTCGGTATGTTGTTGACTGAAATCTTTGGTCATCACCTTGGTCTCTGTGCCATTAATTGCCTCCTTTACTTCTTATATGTTAATTTATTATTCCACTGGATCCAGCTTCAGTCTACAAATGTAGTTAAGTCTCCACTGCCCCCAAAACCCTACCCTCTAGTCTGCAACTCTCAGGCTACTTTCCTTTCATGGTCGAGGGACTGGAAACAGCATTGTCATGCATCATTGCCCTCTTCCATGTATCAACATCTTGCAAACTGGCTCCTACAAGTTCCATACTCCAGTGGAACTTGCTTCTTGGAGTAGTACTAACTTTCAGTGATCTCTTCTCCCTGGGGTCTAGTGCTAGACCCCAAAAAGGGGTGAATGCCTGGCTTTGCTGACATTGCTCCTTGGCCATAGTTAAAAGAGAGACACACACTCAAGCTAGGTTACTTCTCTCTCCTGAGATTTGGAGCATGAACTGGAGAGGTGCAGAATTTTCTGGAGCAGAGCTGTGTTAGTGGCTGCACCACGCTGGGAGAGGGGTCATAGATTCCTAGGAGGCCCCCAGAGCTGCCCTGGTTCCTATCCTTCCCGAACCTTGGTTGTCCATCTCCTCCGCTAACTCTCTGTGAGTTCTCCCAGAATCCTCCTTTAGGTACTGGCCTTAAATTCCCTTTTTTCTTTCTGTCTAAGCTAGTGACAGTCAGCTTCTATCCTTTACAACCTAATTAACCGGTTAATTCTTAACCAGTTAATTCTCTTACCCTTTTTAACAATTCAGAAGCATTGAACACTGAAGAATCTCCTTCCCTGCTGAAATTGTTTTTCTGTGTCTTTGCTGCCTTTGCATTCTTGTGGCTCCTTGTCCTGCAGCATTTTCTCAGGCCCCACTGTCACTCCTCTTCTTTCCCTTACCCTTGAATGAAAGGCTTCCTAAAATGTTTTAAAAATTTTTTTGTTTTGCTTTGAGACAGTCTCACTCTGCCACCCAGGCTGGAGTGCAGTGGCATGATCTTGGCTCACCGCAGGCTCCACCTCCTGGTTTCAAGTGGTTCTCCTGTCTCAGCCTTCTGAGTAGCTGGGATTACAGGTGCATGCCACCACGCCCAGCTAATTTTTATATTTTTTAGTAGAGACAGGCTTTCACCATGTTGGTCAGGCTGGCATTGAACTCCTGATCTCAGGTGATCCACCCGCCTCGGCCTCCCAAAGTGCTAGAATCACAGGCATGAGCCATCGTCCGGCCATTCCTAAAATATTATTTATGAGAATCCTTTTTACATTCTCACTTATTCAAATCAACAAAACAAAATTTGAATGAGCCAGATACTCCACCTCATTTCAGAATATTTGGAAGAGATAGTCTAGAGAACATGACTATATATATGGTCATATTCTATTGGCACAGTCAAGCAACACAGGACATCCAAGTTCTAGATAAACATTTCTGATTACCTACATGTATATTTGTGATTCAACTCACCTAAAATCACCTATTACCATCTCAAATTTAGTATGCTTAAAACTATACTCATTATTTTTGCCCTCAAATATGATCCTTTTTCTATCTTTCCAATCTCAATCCAGAACAGTACCATCCTCCCACCATAAGCTTAAATATCAGAGTCATCTCTTACTCCCTCTTCTCATCTGGTCAATGCACAGGCCCTGTTGATTCTGACCCTGATACACATTCACCTCAGCAGAACATGCCCACAGGCACCCCCCATCAAGTCTCCTTACATTTCACTTCCTGTTGCAGGGGTTTACTAACTCAGTGCCCAGCTCTCTGGCTGTGCCCTACCCAGTCATCCTCCACATGGCTGCTTAAGTCTTTTAAAACTCAGATTTAATCGTGACAGTTCCCAGAAGAGAAGCCTTTCAGTGGTTCTCCAAGGGATGTTCATGAAAATTGCCAAGGAGTTCTGAAAAAGTGAAGATTCTTGGGCTGCAAATAAAAATTCCTCAGTCAGTTTCCAGAAATAAGGCATGAGTATTTTGAGAACCTCATCCCCCCACCCCCACCCAGGGATTTTGATATAGACCTACAGTTAAGTGTCATTGCTTTAATGGAACCTCAGTGCCTACTGAACAGATCTCAAATTTCTCACTGTGATATTTAGGGCACCAACTTCTGCTTCAAGCCTTGTCTCCTTTAATTCCTTACATATTCCGAAGTCTGACAAATAGCGATGACAGTAGTTACTATTTCCTGAATGCCTCCTGACATCATGCCTTTCATTAGTCTGCTCTTGCCACTTGGAAAATCCTTTCTTCTCCATTTCTATTTCTCTCAATTACACCCTCCTTCAAGGTCAAGTTTGACTAATTTAGAGTAAAATACATTTACAGTATTTAGAGTAGTTATGGGGTCATAATAAGCCCTCTATAATAGCAGTTAATGTTATGATAATGATGATGATAAATAATACCTTATACCTCCATGAAGTCCTTACCACCCACTAAATCAGAACTAGTCTTTCCTTCCTTTGTGTTTCCATTGCACTTTGTTTCTAGTCCTTTTAGGGTATCTGCTAGATTCTGTTTTGCTTTTTGTACCCGTCTTACCTGTCCTGGTGAAGTGCAACCTTGTTAGTGAACTCTATCTTGGTCAGGTACTATATCATGTTCAAAACACAGCAGTTGCTCAATACATTTTCACACTTTTAAATTGAGTTCTAAATGATCTTCGTGAACTGTCACCCCAGCCAGAAACAGATGTTCAGCGGGATTCCCTGCCTGTTTGTCCTGCATGTTTTGTCTCTGAGCTGAGCAGGGGAGAAACCCAACTCGGAGCCCTTTAAATTAAACATGTACTTAAGTGGCAAAAGAATTTTTAATTAGAGCCTGGGAAAAGGAAACATTAACATTTGTTGAGTGCATACTCTGCCAGGACACTGTAGTGTGTTTGCCTTGGAACAGCTGTGTAGCAGGAAGCTGCTTCTAACATATTCTGTATTCTTTCCTCCCATTGTTTGCTTAAGGTAACATTTATGTCTGATATTTGCTTAATGTGCCTCTCAAGTCGTTTCTGAGCATTGTAAAGAGGAAACGGTTCACTGGGTGGCAATGCCAGGCACTCAACACTGAGTAACTGATGTGTTAGTGGTGCTCTTTGAAAAGTATGATGTACTGTGAAGTGTCACACTATCTGGATAATTTGCTGTTACCATCAGCCAGGTGGCTGTTTAAATGGTTTTAGATTAAGGAGGAGTTTCCAATAGTTTTAGGCCTTCCCCAAATCCATACTCCTAGGAGAAGTGGGGATTTTTGGCCCATGGCATGATGTCCCCATGAACAGTAGCAGAAATGTAGATCTGTTTTATGAGATAAGGGGCTAAAGTGGTTCTCTGAGCCCATGCTTCCACGTTGAATGGTAGTTAGGACTATAACACGGGTGACTATAACACTTATTGTTAAAAGAGTGGATGCTCAGCACAACAGAATCCACTGGGACTATCCCAGGCGAATTGGTACCTCAGCTACCAGAGCACAGATC